AGAACGCACCTAGTCCGAAGTCGTCTGCCATAGTAGTTGTCATGATTTCCAGCATCTGAAAGTGGACTTGGTACATTCTCAAATGTTTTGTCGGCATCTTAGTCGGCATCAACAATGAGATTTGCCATTCGCCACACCAAGCTCGAACTCGTCAAGAAGACCACACCATCTCGGTAGATTATTCGTATATTATACGAATCCGTGAATTTATATTTTGGCTATTGACACAAAACAGCTAAGATGAAATTGCCTAAGAATAGGTTTTGAGCAGGAAATAATTAAACTTCAGTACATTTTGAAGATATGAAGTCCCAAATGGTATGGTCTCTTTGACGAGTTCGTAGCTTGGTGCGACGAATGACAAAGCTGACTGATGATGCCAAAGAAACGTTTAAGAATGTACCAAGTCCACTGTCAGATGCTGGGAAACATGACAACTACTATGACTTCGGACTAGTTGCGTTCTACATAGTCGCCCTGACAACAAGGCCAAATTGCAAAAACGAGGTCAATCCACTTCTGTAAATCGAAAGGAGACTGCGACCATAACAGAGGCCACAACATCTTGGTCTTCATATATTCAAGAATAACTTCAGGTTAGAATTAAGGCTTTTTTGTAGATAAGGAGAGTTTTGAGACTACCAGTAAATTAAGGATTAACTGCAACAAACTTCAAATTGCAAAGTACATGAGGAGTTGAAAACGAAAACCGTTTTTTTCGTGAGACGCAAGATTACCAAGGAGCCTCTCTTAGTATCATAAAATGCTGGTTGCATACAACGGCCCACTAATTTTTGTTTTAATTAGACCAAATCCCTTGACTTGCAGGTCTTCGCCAAAGGATTCATACTACTTTGTAAAGATTGGATATGGGAGTGTGGTTTGGCAGTGGTCTAAGTCTTCCTACCAATATGACCAAATTATGAAAACAAGTTCAAACAACTGCAACAACACAAAAGGCCACATCATCTTGGTCTTCACGCCGTCGAGAAAACACTCTGTTTGGGTACATAATTGCAGGTACAAAGTGGCATGATGAAAAGATTCTGTTGGCCCCCTTTTTGACCTTCAGGATATGAAAGAATAGAGTGTACATGATAAATGATATATATATATATATGTCAATATGTGTATGTGTCAGTGTTTATGTATGCATATTTGATTGTATGTATCGACTAGCTCAGTTTTAGTTTTTGTAGGAATTTGCCTGACTTGATGTGAAGGGTATCTCTCTTTTAGTGAGTGGTGATTTTGCTGTTTAGAGCATACGACACTGCTCGAATCCCTTTTGTGGTACAGCGAGAGGGTTGAATTCGTCGAAATGACACTGAAAGACCTTAGAATGCCGCTGAATTTTACGTTGCTTTACCTCCAAAAAGCTAGTCACATTTGGGCTGAACTGTGGTTATGACTCTGCCCGGGTCGTGAAAGTAGAAGGGCAGATGTGGCCCTCGGGGCAGGCCTGACGTCTGTCACGCCAAAGCTACAACGTGGCTGTCGTTAAGACCATTTTTTTATATTTCTCCCAAAAATCAACCGTACTACTAGGCAGGTAGTGAGTAGCTATAAAAATGAATAAAAATGGATAAAATGAAGTGAGACGAATAGACGGACTCTCTCAGACTCACGAAGACTGGGATTCGCGAGAAGTCCGATTTACTCAAAAACTAAACATTTTGCGCGATTTGCTATTGGACGCGCATAACACGGTTTCTAATTCCGATACGGAAATTGCAGTCAATTCAACTTGATTGTAGTCATTCCAACCTACAAATCGCGTAGCTACGAGCCGATTGTGTCTGAGAGTTCTTTTCCTGTCTGGCGCCAGGCCAACCCACTTGCCCAACTTGTATCGTCAGGCCTTGGATGCGGTCCTCTGGCGCTCCACCCTCAGGTTGCTTAGACGTCACATTTGTCTCTTGTGCTCTTCGCGCCCAACTCTGACCCGCCATAATGCATGTTCAGGCCAACGCAAATCCCGAGTCCCTTGTCGCTAAGGCTGCAGGTCTATTAGGCCGGGGATGACTGTTGTGAAGCCGACCCACATGTTTTGGGCCAAAATTTCCCACTCTCTTCGGTCATTGGTTCGGCTGGGCTTTTGGGCGTGCCAAAAAAAGGGAAAAAAGAAAAGCCCAGAAAGATGCAAGTCACGATAGGGAAAAGCGGAAGAGGAGGGGCCAAATTGGCAGGCAGGCCTCAGATTTTGGCGATATGAAGGAGGATTGCACCAAACGAACCAAGACAAGCCATACATGTGGAAAGCTTGCCAATTTTATGTTCCAATTAAACGAAAAGGTAACATGCAAATGTGAAGAAAAGTTTGTTTTCGAGGGGTTTATTGTTTCATAATTGTTGAGCTTACTTCCATTTTAGAGTGAAAGTGTTGGGTTAAGAGATTTAAAGTTCGAGTTCACCAGAAAATGAAGGCATCAATTGGCTCTAATTGAATATTCTTGACTCATTAACTTCAATTTT